TCAGCCGACTAAACAAGTTTGTGGAGGAACATGACATTCTTCTTCCGGAACAGTTCGGGTTCCGTAAGGGGCATTCCACCAATCATCAGCTAGTGCGGGTGATGAATAACATCCGGAGTAACAAAGCTGTATCCAAGTCCACAGCCATGGCCTTGTTAGACGTCGAAAAGGCGTTTGACAATGTCTGGCACGACGGACTTATATACAAGCTTTGTAACTCCAACTTTCCACCATACCTTGTGAAAATCACCCGTAACTATCTCCAGCAAAGGTCGTTCAGGGTGTCGTTGAATAGTTCCCTTTCGGGACAGTTTCCGATCCCAGCAGGTGTTCCGCAAGGGAGTCTGCTGGGACCACTGCTTTACAGCATCTACACGTCGGACATCCCTCCTCTAGGAGACGGTTGCGTGTTCTTTCTGTTTGCAGATGACACCGCGATAGCCGTCAAGGGTAGGATGCCTCGTGAAATTACGAACAAGCTCCAACGATGCCTTGACACCTTTACTGATTATGCCACCACGTGGAAAATCAAAATCAACGCCTCGAAAACCCAAGCGATCATGTTCCTTCACAGACAATCATTAAAACTTAAACCGTCTCCCTCCTGTACCGTAATAATGGATGGTACAAGGGTCGAGTGGTCCACTGATGTTACTTATCTCGGGATGTTGTTCGATGAGAAGCTCCTGTTCCGCTCGCACATAGAGAAAACCCTAGTTAAGTGCTCCGCCTTGGTTAGGTGTTTGTATCCGCTCATTTGCCGCAGATCCCGCCTCTCAAGGCAAAACAAACTGGCTGTTTACAAACAGATCATAGCCCCCGCGATCTTCTATGCCGCCCCGGTGTGGGAATCGTGCGCTCAGACCCACAGGAACAAAATCCAGGTTGCACAGAATAGAGTGTTGAGGATGATCCTAGATCGTCCATTCGACACAAGAATAGCAGACCTCCATCAAGAGGCAGAAATTCCCAAAGTAGATTCCAAAATTGATGATATGACAACTAAATTTATTCAAAAATGTAATCTTTCTGAACATGCTTTAATAAGCAATTTGTACATAGTAGGTTAAGTGTATATAGTAGAGTAGGTTAGTTTTAAGCTGTAAATAGTAGTATTAAGTAGTTTCTCTTCAAATTCTAAAAACAAAACAAACCAATCCCACCAAGGTGGTCGACCGTGTACTAAGTCTAGGACTAATCCTGTAAAACAAATTTTAAATTTTGCCCATACCTAAAGATGAAGAAAGCAATTAAATCACTTAGTAAAAATTTATATGGTAATCGTCCAAGTTAAACTAAAATAAAGATCATTTAAACTAACTGAAAAAAAAAATTTTAATTTTATTCCACAGTGTGCTTTCATTGCATACGCATCACAACCAGCTCAGCAGACCGCCCGCAAGTCCACTGGAGGAAAGGCTACTCGCAAGCAGTTGGCAACGAAGGCCGCTCGCAAGAGCGCTCCAGCCACCGGAGGAGTAAAGAAGCCCCATCGCTACCGGCCAGGAACCGTCGCCTTGCGTGAGATCCGTCGCTATCAGAAATCCACCGAACTGCCGATCCGAAAGTTGCCTTTCCAACGTTGCCGTGAAATTGCCCAGGACTTCAAGACCGATCTGCGCTTCCAGAGCTCAGCTGTTATGGCTCTGCAGTAAGCTAGCGATATTGGTCTGTCTGTTCGAGGATACCAATCTGTGTGCCATCGACGCCAAGCGCGTCACTATCATGCCGAAGGACATCCAGCTGGCTCGTCGTATCTTAACAAAACCGGCCCTTTTCAGGGCCACCACAATAATTCAAAAGAGTTGAAGTGACCTTTCGTTCCGTTCTAGTCTAGATTAAGTCTAGACTAACATTTGGAAAGGGCGGAACTCCAAAAAAACCATATCGAGAAAATCGCTTCCGAATTTTGGTGACCTAAAAATTAATCCTGTTTCACGACTTTCCATTTTCTGGATGATTTTATAAGCTTGACATATAGTTAATAGTGTAATCTATCATCATGCATAACTAAAAACTCAAAAAAAGTTTTCTTTGTCGTGAAATTGAGAAGAAAACATCATACGCTCTGATAATTTCATACATGTTGTTACCCCCAGATCTTCCACACTTTGAACTGCCAACACTGGTGATACGCCGTGGAAGTACACCATCGGGATTTGTTGTTTGTTGTTCCGCCTTGGTTCTTCGTTCGTAAATTTTGTGAGAGTGGAATTACGCCCGGAAATTTTTTTGGTCTTCTTTTTGTTCGTTTTTTACACTTGAAATATCAATCGGATGCGTTTTAAATTAATCGGGCGTGACTAGGTACTACAGAATCAATACGTTTGGCATATTAAAACAATATAATTCGTTGTTCTGGTGCAAGGCGTAACAACCAGTTGCATCATCGAGTTGAAAGTTGGAAATACGCCATGTAAGAAGAAACGTTTTTGATGATATGAAGTGATATTTTCTTCTACTTTTTCGTGTTTATCGAGTGAACTGTTCTCTCTATATGTGCCAAAATATGGTTTGTTTACATTTTGGCTCTTCCGCCCCTTTCAAATGTTAGTCTAGAAGTAACGAAATAGAACGTGTGCGGGGGTTTGTTTTCGAGATTTGGAAAACAAACACAGCCGGGTCCGGTATATGATTTGGAAATGAATTTCACTTTATTTTCATGTAGCATCAAAGTGAAAAGGTCTTTGCCCAATCCACTAGAAAATAACATATGGTACTTTCTAAGTAAATTTTATTATGTTTTCAAGATTCTCGTTGTTAAGAATTTTAAAACTATTTTTCGAGATAAAATATGGCTTCGCAATTAGAAAATTAATCGTTAAACTCTTTCTTAATAATGTTTTGGCCCTGAAAAGGGCAATTTTTCCAACGCGCTCGGCGTAGTTGCCCTTGCGGAGAAGACGGTGAATACGACCGACTGAGAACTGCAGCAGCTGGGCATTCCATGACGGCGGCCCAGTATACCGAAGCACAGGCACCAGCGCACTCGGCGTAGTTGCCCTTTCGCCCCCAGGCTCTGCTGCCGCTGCTCTGCTGCCGTTGCTCTGCTTCCGCTGCTCTGGTACTGCTGCTCTGCTGCTCTGCTGCTGGGTCGACGATCGGATAGACAATGATGGAACGGGCGACCTTGTTGGACGCTTATATAGTAGAACAGAAAATATCAGAGGTGTCAGATACTTGCATCTGATGTCTCGGTTGGAAAAAGTATAAGAATATAAAAAAAATCAATCGATTTTCACCATCTTTAGACAATGGTTTACTTCTTACCATTTTTCAATAGTTTACAGAATGAAATCATTAGTTTTGAAACATTCAGCAAATTGCTAGAAATATTTCCAATCGATTGATGCCATTATCTTGTAAATCTATCGAGAGACGGTTGAGTTATTATCGTTCAAAATCTTTTAATTTTTCGTAACTCATCCAAAATGACTGTTTTCAATTTTGTACCCCCGTATGTTGCCGAAAGACGTTATCCAACGTCAAAAAAAATACACCAGTTAGTTATTCTAGCAATGAATTTTGTGCGATTTATTTTCTTTCGCAACATATGGAAGTTGTAAGTAAATTTATTCAAAAAAATTGCCTTCCCTTTCGACGACTGTAGTTAGACGCTTCCGGAAACTGCAGTATGCACGTTTTAAAATGTTTCGATCCATAGATGTCATCACTGCCTTGATTTTAGCTTTTAGCGACTTAAGTTCTATTGGTATCCCGTTGGACGACGCCCTATACAAAATAATCCAACGGATTGATATCGGGACTGCTTGGGGGCCAAATTTCTTCCTCCCAAATTTACGAAATATTTTCCGTAAGCCATTTCTGTGCTTTATTAGCAGTATGAGCAGGTGCTCCGTCTTATCACTTTCCCAAGCCTTTTTTAATATTATACACTGTTCTTTCAGACACATTTACCGACCGAATTATTCCTTTCATGCATACTCCGGCGCGCAACAAAGCGACAACGGCTGACAGATTGCTCTCTTGTTTCGACATCTTTACGTTTACTCAACAATGTTTGTTTAAATCTTACACCTAACAGTATAAGCTATCCAGTGCTGCCAAATATATCTAAATCATGATGCACAAGCATGAGAAATTACTATTTGAAATTTACTGCAAAAATTCGTCACGCACCCTGTAAAGTCAAAGTACCTACCTCTGCTCAATTCCGCATCGGACTGCGTGGTAAGCAGCAAGCAGGAACAATTCAGAGGTTAATAAAGGTGGATTTTATCCTTCTCTCTCTCTCTGCCGTCGTGCTGAACATTCTCACAGATGGGCGTATTTAGAGAGCACTGCTGTCTTTTGTATCGGACGGAGCAGAAAAAAGTGATTCAGAATGCATAAGGAGCCTATTGGATGTTCAAGCTCAGTGTGCAATTTGCACAACATTCTATGTTGTATTGTAACTCAGCGCTAGTGTTATTTGAGTCAAAAAGCTTGCTAAAGCAGTATTCACTGAGAACGAATCTTGTTCAAAGAGTGAGCCACTTTTATTCATTCGTGTGCAGAAATTTCTCATGCACTGAGTAACCTACGACTTTTAGAAATTTCTCCATATGTTGAAAGCCACTTGTCTGTCATAGTTCTGCAACATAAAGATTTGTGATGTCAGGTGCACTTTGATTTCTAAAGTTGTTTTTGCTATGACTGACATTAGTAAGTTTCCGAAAGTTGAGGGAACATGTTTGCAACCTAATTATGAATAATTAAGGAACTAAATCCTAATTTTAAGATTTATTTAACACCCGCCTAATTTCAAAAAAAAAAAAAATAACATTTTTTTTTTCATTTTGGAGTTAAGTTTCTATACAATTTGTTTTGTTATTAATGAATAATATATTTATATTATTGAATGGAGCAGCAAAAATAAACTCGTAGTTCTACGTCAACAATGCAGTCGTGCTTTGGACACAACCCTTAATTTTTTTTTATAAGGAAAGCACACTGCTAACTGAATCGATGTTATCATACTTTTGAACCTTTCATTCCAGTTTCTTTCACCGGATTGGTTGCACATTTGCGTCAATCTTTTCCAGCAGAGGCTTGTGAAGTACCACAAGCACAAAGCGAACACGCAAACACGCAAGTTAAACGTCATCATGAGCGAAAATTACAAGCAATGAATGATAGTAAAAGTGTTCAACACTAGGTAATCGGTCTGGAATTGCAGGAACCGCGATGAGAAAAACAAAAGTGGTCTTGTTACTCGGAAAAGATATTTTATGAGCAGAAAACTAAATCGACCGCTCCGGACGTAAGCCGGAGTAGAAGTTGACATCCGAAGCATAATAGCTACCAGTGATCCTCGTCGCCACTTTTTCGAAAATTGTGTGCAACCATATGGAGAAGAGTGACATTCGTGGCAGCAGAGTGGAGAAAAATAGATTAGAATAAGCATTCGGTAAGTTTGCGTGTTGTTGGTTTGATAAAGCGATTCAAATCCTGATGTAAGTGCTCAGTGAAATAATAGGAAATTAGTTGCGAAACGGCCAAAATAGTTCGAAGAAAAGTGCTCCAGTTTCTGATCGGATGATGCCCCTTGACATTTAGCAAATTGAAATGAATTTTAGGGAGAGAAAAAAACATACAAAGGACTTTTGACGTTGTAGCTGGTTGGGTGATATGCTTCAACAACATCCATAATATGTAGCTATGTATATTATAACGATAAGAGCAAAATAAGGGACAAAATTAACACATCACCACTTGTGTTTAGCCGAATAATAACTACCTACTAGATATTTGCTATTCATATCAGCAGTGCTACGATAATAACACCTCAGTGATAAGCGTTGCAATATTTTCTGGCTGCGATTATGATAAAAGCTGCTAAGTAGTAGTGATGGTTGAAATTGTGCGAAAATGTTATTTTTTGTTCTTCTAATAAACATATGCTTTGGGCAATTTTCACTCTAATCCATTAAGTTTGAACCTCGAAGCGATTGACTGAGTGATTGAGCCATGCCTTTGCAATACAATTTAATGTGTTATTTTCGTGAAGTAGGGCAAGATGGGTCAGCTAGTACATTTTTTAATTTATTTGTTTGTCAACATCAACAGGTTCAATACAACCCCCTTTGAGCCTGTTGATGTTGATAACCTAACGATTAATAAATCAAGTAGATGACCCATCCTGTCTCACCTTCCAATAGTAAATTCAGTTATATATTTGATTTACTTTGCAAAATCGAATTACTTGCACTTCATTCAAAATAACTATTAGACATACGATCTTCGAGAAATTCAGGTCAATTATTCGCTTTTCAAAATCAACGAATTGTGTATTTTTCAACAGTTAACCGTAATTGAATCGTTTCTTTTTAGAACATCGGCAACGATTGCAGGTATGAATCCCACCAGAGGTAGCTGCTAGAGCGAGTCGCCAATCATACATTCCTGTCATCCGATTGAAACCTCTCAAGTCCCACTCCCAGTGAACGCAAAACGACCAATTACACGAAAACCATATCACTTAGATCTACTCACCCCTTAAGCTACTTAATCCACACAAACTACTATGACCAACATCAAGTATGCACGAGTCAAGCAAACAATCGATCACGATCCCCAGAACGAGGAAATCGAACTGGAAGGTGAGACTCAAGTGCATCATCATGGCATGGGAGGATCCAAGAACCACCAGTACGTAGTGGCCAATCGTGGATCGGGCGGAACCGGGAGACGGAAGAGCTTCACCAACACAATCATTATCACGTTGATCTTGATTCTGTGCTACTTCACGCTTTCGATCGGGCTCACGTTCTATCAGCGATTGCTGCTGCAAGAATTGAAGTTCCCCCTATCGGTGGTCCTGTATCATCTCTGCATCAAACTAGTCTTGTCCGCGATAGTGCGAGCCATGCTCCGGTGCGCTACCAAGAAGAATCGAATCCTGCTGGACTGGAGAACTTCGGTTAGGAAAATTCTGCCCACCGGGTTGGCCAGTGGAATCGACATCGGATTCTCTAACTGGGGACTGGAGTTGGTCCAAATTTCCCTGTAAGTTTGATGTGAAGTTTCCCAATGGAACTAGACTCAATTTTAAATAACCTCTTTCAGGTATACAATGACCAAATCTACAACGATCATATTTATTCTGATATTTGCCATTTTGCTGAAATTGGAAAAGAAGGTAAGAGCTGGTCCGATTTGAGTCGCCAAATGACATCTTCCTTTCATATGCGATTGCTTTTCCAGAGCTGGTCCCTGGCGGCCATTGTGGTGATGATCTCCGGTGGGTTGTTCCTGTTCACGTACAAATCGACCCACTTTGATGCGCTGGGATTCTCGTTTCTCCTGTTTGCATCGCTATCCAGTGGCATCCGCTGGTCGTTTGCCCAACTCATCATGCAAAAGTCCAAACTGGGCCTGCACAACCCGATCGATATGATCTTTCACATGCAACCGTGGATGATAGCGGCTGTACTCCCGTTTACGATCGGATTTGAAGGTTAGGTCAAAAAGGGTGTTCGCCATTTATCGGTTTTCTACACCCAGTTTTACTTTCAGGCAAACGCATAGTGGATGGTTTCGACAGTCTGCTCCAGACGGACAGTTCGATCGTAATGAACATGTGGCTGCGAATTTCGGTGGGGGCATTCATCGCGTTCGCCATGGAAGTGAGCGAGTTCCTGGTGCTGTGCAGTACCTCCAGTTTGACGCTGTCGGTGGCAGGGATTTTCAAGGTATGTCTGAACTTTGTTCTACTTGCGTTTCAATGTTAAAATCTTATGGAGGACAAAAGAGTGTTCAATCAACCAATATACCATCTAAATTGAAAAATTTGTGCAGATGATGTCGCAAAATCGGACATTTTTAAATTTTAATTTTAATAATGTTTTGTCACGTAGCAACCTATAAAAACAAATGGTAGTAAGTTTAACTCTGCGGTTTTCCGTTGTTGCAACTGTTTGTATTATTATTATGACTTTATTAGAGACTTTCAGCATGTGTGGTTTGGTAACTGTTCCAAGACGATTCCTACGGGGGGCATAGAAATACCGGAAAGTGAGCAGATTTCCTTAATTTAGACCACATCCAGTCCATAACTTTAATAATACGAAAGAAGAGAAATTACGTAAATTAACATTCAATAACTAAGCAAACTGCAGTACTATCTTGAAAATAACATATTTCAGGGAAATGTTATTCGAGGAAAAGGGTCTACGCCCACTCGCCCACAGTTGAGTCGACGATCTCCAGCAATGCAGCTGCTCAACGATAACAACGTTCTTTTCTTCTTCCTCCCACGCACAGGAAATCTGCCAGCTGGTCTTGGCAGTGGAATTGTACGGTGACCAGCTCAGCTTGATCAATGTTCTCGGTTTGGTGATGTGCCTCGGAGGCATCTGCTGCCACGTCGTGCACAAATTTTGGACCTACACCGAAGAGCAACACTCGAACGAAACATCCCCCACCTACGATGACGACGAAGATGAGTCCGGAACGGTTGTCAGCAAAAATGGACTATCGCCCAAGTACAACCCCAAATTCGACCTGACTCCTATGGCACGCTTCAGCAATGTCGCCGGTGGCCAACATCGGCCCCTGCTGGTGAACGACAATCGAGATGCAGAAGATTCGGACCACCTAGTGGTCAACAATCGGAACTACGTTTCGGACGATAGCGACCAAGGCGAACACGATGCTCAGGATGTTCTGTTCGATATACTGCAAAGACGCGAGCGATAACTTTCCTACTTACGATGAAATAACTAAATTTTATTACCTTAATTTTATTTGTTAACTATGCGCTTAGCGATATCACTCCTACTTAGCAGGAGTGGGAACTGAATTGAACATTTCATCTGATTTTGTTACGATGTATATTTTGTGTTAACACTTTTAGCTAGAGGATTTTAACGAGGAAGGCATTAAATCCTATGTTTTGTACATTTAATTTCCAAACGATCCACCTACTTTAAATACAATGAAAACTATCCTGTACTTTAAATTAGGGTAATAATATTTCCGTTGTAACGGCATTTAACTATTATACAGTGTTACCACCACACGGTAAGTGAAAGTAACCACATTTTCGCTAGTTTGTGTAAATTAAATATATAGGAAAAGGAGTAACCACGGATGTAAGTAAACATTGACCCAGAATGGCTGCAGCACATCGGGAGATTACGAAAGTAACATTTAAATGGATATTTAAGAAAAAAATACCTAGTACGAAAATAACCTGATGTAAACACAACCGTGATAATTGCTTATGTTCAAACATTTTTGTATACACACAACACTCGCCAATCTATCGCGCGACATGTCATGTACACACCATTTACGTTTATTAATCGATGTATTAAAAAAGAGAGATAAACTTGTAATAGAACAAATATAGTGTACTCACAAAAGTATGGTTTTATGATAACATTTTATTATTTTATCATTGTTTTCGATCAGTTTCACGAGAAATTTCGTAGAGAAATGTCAATCCCTTACCCATTCACTTCACTGCCGTAAGCAGTTTTGTTTGACTCTGCCCCGACGTTCTGCCGGATTCCAATCCAGCAGTTTCCGATTTTCTGTTGATACCGGTTTCTAACAACTCTGGGATGCAACGATGTTAACTCCATGGAAGCCCCTAATCCCCCCCACCACAGTCGAGCTTTTCCCGCCTTCGTTTACCAGTCGTCCTGACCCTGTGTGTGGGATTGGAGATGGGGTCTTCAAACCCGCTATGCACGATGTTTCCACGATCTCCAAGAACAATGCTGCTACCTCTACTGCTTCTAGACCACCACCGAGACGTATCGTGGATAGCACTGTGGAAGCGCCCGATTTCTCTGCCTCAGTCGCGCTTATTCCAGCCAGCGCTTAGCATAGTCGTCTCGGTCCTGAGTGTAGATGTGGGTCGGGGGTCTTCCAACCAGCTACTACTGGCAAGTATACTGACGATTCAGCCTCTCTTTTGCCTGATACCGCTTCAACTTCTAGCTGTGTTTCCGGCTCTGCGGCCGCCACACTAGCCACATCATGTCTATGCATCCGTCCTGCCAACTGCCAGCAGGTTTATGCCGCCACCTACTTTTCCTCGGATCCGGGACACCCTAAAACAGGCACTGAGGAAGCTTCCGAACCTCCCGACCCAGTCGCGCTTGCTGCAAACATCCACCATCTTCATCGTCCCGGTCCTGTGGTCGGTGATGGCATCGGGGGCTTCCAGCCTGCAACCTCAGGCGAGTGTGATTGCGATTCCGAGCTTTCGGTACCTGATGTCCTTTCGATTTCCAGCTCCCGTGATTGCTCCTCGAATGGTCTCCGGACCTACTACCAAAACGTGCGTGGGCTGAGGACTAAAATCGACTCGTTTTTCCTGGCTGTTGGAGAGGCCGAATATGATTTGATTGTGCTGACGGAAACGTGGCTGGACGACCGAATTTACTCATCGCAACTCTTCGGGTCACTCTATTCCGTCTTCAGAACTGACCGGTCTCCCCTAAACAGTCAAAAATTGCGCGGTGGCAGAGTCCTGATTGCCGTATCAACGAGACTAGCCAGCTACGTAAGTACGTCACCCATTTCCAGTCAACTGGAACAGCTGTGGATTGTCGTAGAACTTCCACAAAGCAATCTTAGTGTAGGCGCAATCTACCTGCCCCACGACCGCAAAAACGACTGCACAATCATCCGTGAGCATGTGGAGTCGTTAGGCTCAATTTCTTCTCAATTAAGTCCCTGCTCTCCCGCTTTCGTATTTGGCGACTACAATCAAGCTGGTTAGCGGCGCCGGTGGTGTAGTGGTAAGCGTGATTACCTCTCACCCCAGCAGGCCTGGGTTCAATCCCAGTCGGCGCCGCCGGGATGTTCTGAGGCATAACATCTTTGATCACGCCTTCCTTCGGAAGGGAAGTAAAGCCGTTGGTCCCCGGTTCATGAGTTGATGGGTCGATAGGTAGGGTCCAGGTGTGGGAGCTGCCTTCCTGGCGTCGGTAGCATTGGTGCTCAGCACGGAAAACAAGATAGACGGAAAACAAATCGCAGGGTGTCCATTCAAATTCCATTTTTCAATTCCCGGTTTTTCCCGGTTATTAAAAAAAAAACTCTACATACATTAAACAAAAAAGGCGTTCAAAAATAACCCTTTAGAGATAATAATAAAATTTTGTCAGCACAATTCCTCTACAATATGCAGGGCTGGTAGTGGGTATTTTATACAATAGTATTGACCAATAGTGACATTTTTTAAAATTAAAGTGCGGTAAAAATCGGTAGAACTGTTTCAAACACACAGTTGGTGCTTGAACGGGTCGGTTTTCATCTCTTTTTGCCAGTGGTGGCGGGGGGGGGGGACACCCCTCACCATCCCTCTCCAAAGGGGGAGTTTGGTAAAGAGAGATGAAAAAACCGATTTGTACCTTCCTAAAAAGTTGTCCTAGTTCGCTATTCTAATATCTATATACAATCTTCACACTGCCGTACTCTAACGGAACTATCAACTCTATGCTTTCATCTACTCCATCTATCGTATAAAAATTACCACTACAGTCTGTTATTTGAAATTAGCATCTTCAACTAGTATTTAACATTGTTCCCTGAGTAATACCTAAATGAAAACAACAATGAAATCTTGTCACGCAAATAGAAGGAGCACCGTTGGGCACTTTCTGAAATATTTCAATAGTATAATTCCCTTGCAAACCCAAATAAATCTATCTTCGTTAAAATGAATAAAATAAGAGTGATTTGCGGCAAACCCCGCCAGTATCACACCCAACGTCAGTGCCTATACGTAAGCGTACTACAACGCGGCTCTCAATTAAAGGAGTAACAAGTGTGATACTATTACTGCTAGACTAGCAGGCCTATTCTGCGCGGCGTGTGAGGTGAGGTGACACGCTCTCACTTGTGTGGTGACAATTGTCACCTCGGGTGAGGTGACTCTCCGTGCAAATCAAATGGAGAGTCACCTCACCCGAGGTGACAATTGTCACTTCACCATCACTTCACTGTCACTTCACCTCACACGCCGCGCAGAATAGCCCTGTAGATCTTTGGTTCTCTCATGCAGTGGTTTATCAGAGAGGGGAAGCTTAGTAATCTCCATTGCCTGCCCATGGCGCCATTCTATCGCGGCATGAGCCAGCAACGCCGGCCATAAACCTACCGTCTCCAACACTCCACTAAAAAGTATGAAATTAAGCCCGCCCACCAGCAACAAGGTGCAAAAACTAGCCAAGGGGAGGGCATTCCGACTAAAGAGCTTATCAAAATCTAACCCCTAAGTACTCATCCCCTAGGTAAAAAAGTCAACATCACAGATTAATTTAGTGGAATTAAATGGAAGATAACTTTTTGCTGTTTTACGAAATGAATGCTGTCAGCTCAACCTCACAAGAGTTTGTTGATATTTGCAGCTGGTCAGTTTTGTTAGCGTGATATTCAAAGCTGCGATATCATAGCTTGTAAAATCAACCGCAGTATTTTTGCTTGCTGATTTCTGTCTAAGAAAATCATTTTTTTTATATTCTCCCAACGTTGAGCACAAAACTATTGGGAGGATGTATACATGCTGTGGGATCTGGGATTTTCTGACAGTTTCGCTGGTTCTGTTTACCCAAATTGACGGGATCACACTAGCATAGTCTTGTATTGCCAATGGATCCACTCGAGCTAGTTAGGCCTATTCTGCGTGGCGTGTGAGGTGAGGTGACTTGCTGTCACTAGTGAAGTGACAATTGTCACTTCGGGTGAGGTTACTCTCCTGGGCCTATTCTGCGCGGCGTGTGAGGTAAGGTGACAGTGAAGTGATGGTGAAGTGACAATTGTCACCTCGGGTGAGGTGACTCTCCATTTGATTTGCACGGAGAGTCACCTCACCCGAGGTGACATTTGTCACTTCACAAGTGACAGCGTGTCACCTCACCTCACACGCTGCGCAGAATAGGCCTAAGTGACATTCATTCAGCTTCTTTATGCATGTGATTGCGAGTGGCACCCGGACGTTCACAAGCGGCAGACAGCATGGAATCCAGTTCCTCCAGGCAAATGCAGTAATCAACAATATAAAAGCCGATATACAAAACAATTATGGAATGCATCCACCCTTTGCGAAAATCATAGATGAATTGACAGTTCTCTAAATGAACACCTAGGCCTATTCTGCGCGGCGTGTGAGGTGAGATGACTAGCTGTCACTAATGAAGTGACAATTCGACAGTGAGCATGCATAAGGGCGTATACGCGATGATCGATTCTCTTCATCGGGTGAGGTGACTCTCCATTTGATTTGCATGGAGACTCACCTCACCCGAGGTGACAATTGTCACTTCACCATCACTTCACTGTCACCTCACCTCACACGCCGCGCAGAATAGGCCTAACTGTCACCTCACCTCACACGCCGCGCAGAATAGGCCTAGTAGTTCACTTTGCCACTCACCTAGAAATAAACCTCTCACGTCACCCGAGTCGACTATCGGAATCGAGTGAGAGAAGTCATGTGAGAATTGTCACCTCATCTCAGGCGCCGCGCAGAATAAGAAGAATAGTTTAAAAATTCTTTGCGGAATTTGAAGCAATTTTGATGATAGTTTCAAGAGAATTTCTGAAAGAATGTATAAGAATTTTGAACATAATTCCAAAGAATCTCTAAGTATTTTTCTAGGAGATTCTGAAAAAAAAATGTCCAAGGGAATTCTAAAGAAAAGTTCAACAGAATTCCAAGATACATATCATCCTCAAGAGCATGTTGAGAAGCATTTCAAGGAAATTCTGAGGAAAATGTCTATGCAATTCTAAGGGATTTTGAGATAAAACTGTTCTAAATTCTAAATGGCATATTTGCTGTTGAAATTTTTTATTCAATCTTGTTAGTTCGCGTAACGTAATTTTAGGGGGGGGGGGAGTATTTTCAAGTGCTACTAATTGTTATATAAGAGGGAGAGAGGGTCGAAAATCCAGATTTTTTGTGTTACATAATTTGTGTTTGCCTTATTGCTATGATTGGTTGTGTTATGGGTGGTGAATCATTAGGATGCGCTTTATGTACTAAATGAGATACGGGACAGCTGGGTCGAACGGTACAAGTGTGTCTACGATACCAAGTAGTCACAGAGTTCTAAAATATACTCACAATTTGAACGGTTTTCCAAAGGGCAGCAATTTCATGGATAGTCAGGATCACTATATATAGTAAACTTTTAAATTTAATATGTACACTAATCTACTCACCATTCGAAAAGTTTTGACTACTTTTCGCAAGCAAGCAACTTCCTAGCTGGTCAGGATATTGAGATACAACAACTAGCGCCGTATAGTGGCAGAATTCTGAACTAATCTAATGATCATTTGAAAGATTTTGGCTATCTGAACAACTGCTTCGAAGGTAGTATAATTCTTAACTAATCTGGTTAGTTTAGTTTAGCTTTATTCAGGATGGCTAGTGAATTTTCATTTTGAAATTCCCGGTTTTTCCCCGGTTTTCCCGGTTTAAATCTTAAAAAATTCCCGGTTGTTAATAGGGAACAGCGCTACTTCGTCGTAATCGCCCATTTCCGTTCTATCGAGCAGAAATCATCAATAATATCAATGATTTCACCGTGCACAAATCAATAATACGTTTGTTCCGATCCGTTAGTTCGTAAGCCACAACATGAAGCCTATTACAGCGCATTGTATGAATAAGAGATGAACTAGCCTATGGCTAAAAATCTCTATAATAAAGTATTAAAAAAAAAAAGCATTGTATGAATATTTACACTCATTGTTCTCAAAACAAAAGAAGCGCTTCTAGCGACTCCACTTTTTCTACCATCATCCGTAGGACGAAGAAAATCTAATGGCGTTTCAATGCGTTAGGACGGAATTGAAACTCGTAGGACGATTTTGGAATCAAGAAACAGTGTTAGATTTTTAATAATATCTCAACATTGTTTGACTCTTTAGAAGTTATCTTTAATGAAAACACTTCATGTTTTGTTCAAACCCTTTTAAAAAAGAGAGAGAAAGTGCGGGATGTGCTTAGTAGGACGGAAATTAGATCAAAAGCCCTATTCAGCAAAAAACGAAATTGAACGCATTTTTAAGAACGTGCTGAAAGGAATTTACTGAAAGGATAAATGTGATTTAAGAAGATTCCCAAGAACGTGGGGCTTTAAATTTGTGTAGAGTCTAAAATTAGAACTTTTTTCTTTTCAAAATCTGTGATTAATAATAACTTTCGTGATGCAAGATTTGAAAAAAAAAATAATTATTATGTGAGATTTTGAAAAAAAAATCAAGATCACAGATTTGAAATGGGTTATAACAAATTACAGAACAATCTATAGAATCTAGTGGACAAACCCTGAAGTTTTTAGTAAAATTTAAAAGAATTCAAAGTGTTGATTTCAAACAAATATTGAGATGGATTCCCACACAGCTTTCGAAGGATTGATTGATTGATTTATCTTTATTAAGAAGGCTTTCAGCCTGAGGCTGGTTCGCCTCTAAAGAGCTTTCGAAGGAGAAGTTCTGAGCAGAATACCAGAATTATTCTGACATGAAATCCTTAGAAATGTTTAGATGAGTTTGGAGGGATTTCTGTGGAGAAAAATGCATGTTCTAAATTAAATTTATAGGTAATTTTAGAAGATTTAAAAAGGAGTTGTGAAAAACAAAACTTTGCGGAAAATTTCTACGTGTTTCTGGTGAGATTTGTATAGGGATCGTGAGAAAAATGACAGATAAATTTTTAGAAGTATTCCAAGAGAATTATGATCAGAATTCAACAAGAAACAGAGTTCTAAAAGTGTTCTGGCAATAATTTCAACCCTAGAGCGAAAGATTCATCACAGAACTCCAACAAAATTGATTGCAAAAAATTGCTGATAATTAGAAATAAATTCTTTAAAATACTCCCAAGGGTTTCTAAATAAAAATTTCGAAAGAGTTCTGCTGTTTAGAATAGTGTTAAAAGATTTTCAAAGGAATCGAAATCTCCAGATAGGCTCAAGAGAATAGGCCTTCTTAATGCACTACCAATGTAGAGTGCACCAAGCGAATTCGAGAGGAAACGTCAGCCAAACCATTTGTTTACATCAGAATGAGGATTTTTCACAACGCAAATTAGAGCATTTTTCATTCAACATTTTGCCAATTTCCATCAGTAATTGCCATTTTTTACGATTTTTCACAGATCTGAACTGATTTGCACTTGAACTATTCACATACAAATCCAGAATATAATAACCACTAAGGCACTTTTATAATTTTCCATTTTTCTCACCAAACATATTCTTGGACACTTGCAGAATCCTTGCAAAAACGATACAGAATTGAATTTTCAAACTGTAAATCAAGTTTTGGAGCATCTCAGATGAATCAATTTATCAGGAAAAGTAAAAAAGTGTTCCACTTCCTATGCCTTACGACAAATATTTCTGCTCACAACTCTTTTTGACGTTCTCCTATTCACCACCAGAGGTTGAATCGATCGTTTAGTTTCTATTAAAAAGGCGAATTTTAAGAAGGATTCCAATTAAATTATTAGAAGGGGTTGCAAGGAAATTCCAAAAAGAATTCACTGGTATTTATTACGCGGGGTGTTTTCTGGCTTATTTCAGAACAATTTAAAAATAATTCAGAGCAGAATTTCTAAGTTAATTTTGGAATTCATATCGTGAGCATCTAGAACAACGAAAAAAATAAACCCTGCAAAAGAATAATTCAGTTTCGGTTTTTACAAATTTTTGTTTCCAAAGTCCAGCATCTTCAATATTTTCTTTTAAGGACCAAGCACTTTACATCTAAAATTGAAACGACAAATATAAATTTGCAATATTGCTGAGTGATTAAATTCTTAAAACAATAAGACGGGAAACTGAAGAAAATTTTGCAGCAAATAGAGCAAGACATTCATTTGGTAAAGGATTTCTCTGTTTTAATGGTTTATTCTGAAATTCTGGTGTTAAAATTTGTTAATTTATTTTTCCCGGTTCTTTCACCGAATTGCCGGGTTTTTCCCGGTTTTCCCGGTTACTTTTCAAATTCCCGGATATTTCCCGGTATTCCCGGTTTGCTGGCCACCCTGTTTATTATAGAGACTTTCAAGCTAAACTAATCTGACCTCCATTCGAAAGGCTGTAATGAACTTTGCGTCAGAGAGCGGCTTCCTAGAGAGTCGGAATTTCGAGATATATTACACAGTGATTGTTATCATATCAGTGGATTATCATGTTTGTTGCTGATCATCATGTGTAACAAACATGATAATCCATGATCTTAGTTGTGCACTGATCATGATTTCGTTCACTAGTGTTTTCTATCGTCGTACTACATCGGAAGATACGATTTTTGGATTCCCTGTATCAGGTCAAGGCAATTTCGAATAGCTTTAGAGAGCAAGCTCAACACAATCATGAACATTCAATAATTTAACAATCCAATATTCTCACTTACCTCTGTTCAGACATTCTAACTCTAAATCACTATCTTTCGCATGTCTTCGATTTGTACCCTCAGTTGTTTAATCTAAAAAAAACCCATGGTTAAGTTAGCCTTTCAAATAACCTATGGGCCATTGGGGTGATATAAAATATTGAATTTGCTCCACCAAGCTCGATCCGTTTCAAATCAGGTTCTGCCAATTCTCCTCTTAATTTGAGCTGCGAACTCATATTGGGAATGACTATGGGAGAAGTGATGTCTTTGTTCTCATCATTCTATCCCCTCGCTGCAATGGAAAGTTTGCTATCTGTTCTAATGTGAAATTTTATCAGAGACCACATTTCAATTGAACGTCAGGATAATTAGTGATCAATTGATTACGATGATGTTTTTCTGACATGCTTCATAAACTGCTCAGCAGGCAACTATATGGACTGCTTGGCGCAAATAATAAGGCAAAACATCCAGGCTACTATGTCATAAGTGCAAGATGCAGTGTTGCCCTGAAAGCAGTCGATAATCATATCAGAAAGTCATCGGCTTTGAAATCCTTGCAGTCCAATAAGAAAGTGGTTGCAAAGCAAAGCTGATAAAATCATTATGGCGAAGGGCTAGGACGATGTGAACAAAAAGATCATATTTCCCATAGTAATTTTCATGTAAACCAGGACCAATGCAGTATGAGTTCACATCCAAATCAACTAAATTTTTTGGGAGATTGATCAGAACCTGATTGAGAATTGTTTCAGCTTGGTGAAGCAAAATCGAAATTTTGAACCACCCTAATGGTTATGCTTCAAATTACCCTCTCGGCATGCTTCCTCTGCACCGCTTCGCTGGCCGACTTCCGGTAGCCTTCGTTGTTCACCGTACCTAAAAGCCGCTCCAGCTCCATCTCGAACTTGACAAGCTTTTTACTATTTCCCATATCGGCTTGCTTCTGTTGCGGCTGCAAATTCGTTACAACTCCAAACGAACACACGTGACTTGCAGTTGATTTGGCAGTAAATTTCCCGGCGTTGAATGCATCTTCATTCCGGTGCAGAACAACTCCATTGCAGAGGGTTAACTGGCGGATGTTTTCCGCCTGCCGTTGGAGAAGCGAGCTCAATTGATCCGACTTGGACAGGATGTGGACAACGGGGTTGTGCTTCCGAGCGATCGGGATGGGGGATTCACTTTTTGTTTGGCGGACACTTTGGCAGATTTCCAGCAGTTGATCGATGTCCGATTCCAGAGTGGCGTCAATCCAATCTTCTGGTGAGAAGCTGAGGTCTGGAGAAGGAAGGTGAGGTTGCAATTCGGCGACTAGATAAGGGGTGAATACTTCCAGGTGGTACAGACCCAGGGCGAGGCACTGTTGCAAGACTAGGCAGTGATTGGTGGCTATTGAGTAGTGCTCTTCTTTCATGAGCACTTTGGTCGTTTCCAAGTAGACATCGCAGAAGTTGCTATAGAAGAACGTCTTCAGAGCTGCAGTTGCTAGATGAAAGTTGTATGACTCCAGGGCGCTTCTGAAGCTTGCGATAGTATTGCTAAGCCGACTGAGGATCCATCGATCCATTTCCGTTAGAGAATCTTTGCTAAGCTGTTTCCCTTTCGGATCGAACTTCTCTGCACATCCTAATGTGTAGCGTGTTGCCTGCCAGATCTTGTTGAAGAACAACTTGTTCGTGTAGCACTCCTGGACGTTAAAGTTGATGAAGTGATTCTTTATATTGCTCGAGCACAGCGTAAAACGAAGGGCATCCGTTCCGCACTCCGGAATTCCGTTAGGGAACATTTTCCTCTGGCCAGCAATGGATTTCTTCAGCTCCGAAGGCGAAAGAATTCCCGACCTATGTGACGCTTCCGCTTCTCGATTCAGTTTCTCAAGCGAGATGCCTTGCACCACCTGATTCGGCTTTATTACATTGCCCAAGCTTTTGGACATTTTCCTACCATTTTCGTCACATATGATTCCGTGCAGTAAAATCTCCCTGAACGGAAGCTGTCCTGTCAATTCCTGTCCCAACATCACCATTCGTGCAACCCAGAAGAACAGGATATCGTGACCGGTTTCCATCAAATCCAACGGGTAGAATCGCTTTCGATCGTCGGAATCGTCAGGCCATCCCAAGGCGGAAAACGGAAGCAGCGATGAAGAGAACCAAGTGTCCAACACATCTGGATCTTGGATGATTTCAAAATCTTTGGACTTCAGCAATAATTGAGCCTTCTGCTGGGCTTCCTCCATGGATCTCGCTGCGATCCAGGTGGTATTTGAACCACACTTCACCTCATACGCAGGTATCCGATGACCCCACCAAAGTTGCCGAGAAATGCACCAATCGTGGCAATTCTCCAACCAACGGAACCAGTCCTTTTCGAAGTTGTTCGGAACGATTTTAAGTTGTCCACAGTGAACTGCTTCGACAGCTCGTCTAGCCATTTTCTCGCATCGAACGAACCACTGTGGCCTCAGTAGGAACTCGATCACATCCTTCGAGCGGGAACAAACAGGCAAGATCATAGAGTGTGGCTTAGTACCCCTCAATAGCGAAATGTTTGCCAGATAATGCATCATTTTCGTACGAGCTTCGTATCGTGGAAGTTTAGAAAATGGTCCAAAATCCTCCAAAATCGTTCCTTTGCTGTCAATAACTTCCACAAGCGGCAGTCGATGCTTCTTCGCCATATCGTAATCGTATCGATCGTGAGCAGGAGTAATTTTCACCGCTCCCGTTCCGAATTCAGGATCTACACTTTCATCGAAAATCAATGGAATCTCCTCCTTTCTTACTGGATGCCAAAGCATCGTCCGATTGTTCTTCAAATGGCCATAACGTCCATCGTTCGGATTCACAGCCACCGCCACATCTCCGAGCAGCGTTTCCGGCCTGGTCGTCGAAATCACGATCTCCTCTTTGGAATCTTGCACCTTATATGCTATATCGACCATTTCTCCAAACGTTACCTTCCCACTATAACCGGGAACGTCCACCGGAGTCGGCCCACTAATCTCCACATTCTCTACCTCAATATCCGAAATCGCCGATTCCAACGAACACGACCAATTTACCAACGATTTATCCCTGTAAATCAAACCCCCATCGAACAACCTTACGAACGCTTCCTTTAGCGCCCTCGTCTGCCGTTCATCCATGGTAAAGTACTCTCTATCCCAATCCATCCGACTTCCCATACCCTTCAAATCTCCCCGAATGCTTTCCCCATTCACCTCTTTCCACGCCCATATTTCCCGCAAGAACTGCTCCCTTCCCAAATCATGCCTGCTCAACTTCCGTTCCTTCTGCAGCTTCTTTTCCACCACCACCTGTGTTGCTATGCCAGCATGATCCATCCCCGGAATCCACAACCCCACACAACCCTGTTTCTCCTTCCATCGCACCAGAACATCCTGCAGGGCACAAGTCAACGCATGGCCCAAATGGAGCTCCCCCGTTACATTCGGCGGGGGAAGCAGCAAGCTGAATTTCCTTCCTTCGTCAACACCTCCTGTCGGCTTTTCAACAACTTTCCGACGGTTGTTAGCTTCAACCTGTGCCGGTTTATAAGCCGGTTCCAGAACTGTTGAAGCGTACAAAAATTACAATTAACTTTGAACAGGAATTTAGATTCGTAATTACCTCGTTTTGTACTGCAACCTCTGATGGGGTTCTTCAGAGGACTCAACAATATTATATATTTAAAGTTTTTTGCTAATTTAATGCCATTTTCGGAGTTTAAAAACTGAAACATTTTCTAGCACGGTACGTAACCCGGCGAACGTGTAAAGAGGAACCAGGCGAATGCAAAGATCGCATGTTTTTGTTTTGCTTCATTTTCTGTTTTGATTCTGGATGGTTGAACAACGTTTGAGTGACGCTGTATGGCCCCTTCAGCGAATTATTTTCCCGGGGTTTGACAGCTGCACACTAGGGTGGCCCAAAAATCAATGCAAATTTTTGTTACCATTCGCACCGCAAGTGTATATGTTGAAAATTACTGGTTTTTGTGCCAAAAGTTATAACAACAATCAATACGAAACTAACGATTTTAAATTGGCTCACTACTTGACTAGCCTATTGGTCCCAAGCAAACATTTAACGTACCCCATTGTAGTTGAAATTCTACTACTACACAATGTTTGTTTTGATTCGCTATGAAAGTTTGACAGATAAAATGAGGGGTTAGTGGATTTTCGAGGGGTGAATCGATTAACTTGGGACCGAAGAGGGTACCAGAGCTGAGCCAAAAAGTTGAGCTCGTTACTTCGGGACCTTCTGGTCTTAGAGTTACCTCTATGGTTATAATACGTCGTTTGGTGGGCCCCGAGATGGGCCCTATGGGCGCTCCCGGTAACATAACATAACGTTATACGCATAACTGTCCCATTTTCTATACAATCCTTATGCACAGTGTGATTCTTATGCGTATAACGGCAGTAAGTCAAAACTCGTTTGAAACGATGGTTGATGCCTCTGTGTACACAGCAAAACAATATGTAATATCGATCAATGTAATTCAAGCTGATGTATGAAATAATGATGTAATAGCAAAAAGCAGATACAATATTACATCAATGGATGTAATTTTCGAGGTAATTTTGTTCGCAAAATCGATGTAAATTGTACAACGTTATATTACACAACCGATAGATCGAACTTTTTTTCTTCTGTGTAGTGGATACAGGCAGAATGAAAATAAAAATCCTTCGGTGAAAGCAAAAAAACGGAACGCAGGAAGTAAAAAAACAAGCATCATTGCCGCAACGTAAAAGACTCACATACACTCATAAAATTCGACACATTTTTATCGGAGAATTTCTATATAAAATTCCACATGATTTTCATGTGTTTACACATAAATAGAATCCACTCAGAAGTACACATTAAATTTATGAGTCAAACGAATAGTATGTGCGGTTACATATGAATTTTATGTGTATACATATGAACCGAGGGGCTGTCAACTTGAGTATTTTCGATTCATCTATACAGCAAAAAAAAAAATTGTTGAATATTAAATCGAAACTGCTGGTATTCTTGCATATTCGATTGCCGTCAATGGATGGCAATCGATTTCCGTCGGTGATTGGCACTAGATTGTGGAACAGAGACTGACGTTAAATAAAGGAAAGAAGAAGAAACTGCTGGTATAATCAATTTGACAGATTGATGTCTTTCTATACCACTTGAAATTGCTGAAATGGGGTTGATTTTTTTTATTATCAAGTTCCACATATGTTATGTGATGAAAGGGACCATAAAAGAGGACACTAATGTCGTTTTTGTTTTTGATACACTACACCGGTGTAGTGTAAGCAATGATAAACTGACATGAATGATCATACAAAGTATCTTCAAATTTCTGATCAAAGCTCAAAACTGACATCTGCCGCCATGTTCGCGAAAAATGTGTATCCTAGTCACGAACACACATACTAAATTTATGAGTTGGTTCGTGTCTAATCTATTCCGGGCAAATTATTTTTATCTAGATAACAAATTTCTACACAGCAAAAAAAGTTGTTGAATATTACATCGAAACTGCTGCAACCAGGTCAATCCATCGGTTGTGTAAAATCACATTGTACGATGTACATCGATTTTGCGAACAAAATTACATCCATTGATGTAATATCACAGACAAACAGACGTAACTCTTTGAAAAAGTTTTTCTTGAAAACATAGTATCTCAAAACATAGGACCACAGTTACGACATCTCTCGGGTTTCTCGTGGAAAACAAGCTTGCTCGCTAACTCGCAAACAATATTGCATAAAACTTCTATAGAATGTATAGAAACGTCAAAGTGATCCGATTCCAGCGCTGCGACGAGTAGTTCGCGGAACTGATAATATTCAAATCAACCGTTAAATGCGAGAACGAAGATACACAATGAAGAGTTACGTCTGATTGTCTGTGGTAATATTGTATCTACTTTTTGCTATTACATCATTATTTCCGAGGGGGACGACTCTATCTACGCTGCAGGAAAGATTGTGTTGTGCTGTGGCTAGCTGACCGCACGCTGAGTAGATAGAAAGAAGATTGATGACGATTCTGAAGATTTCCTGCAAAAAGGTGATACGCGATGCAAGTAAATGCGAGAAATGCAAGAAGATTTTTCGAAGATTGATTCGCTAGTGTGAGATTTTTTGAGCATCCAAAATTGAGATTTAGATGTGTCGCCCCTCTCGGCAAAAACCGTAGTTGGAAACCCTTAAATTTTTTTTTAGACTTTATTTTTGAGATTTTTAGCCGTAGGCTAGTTCATCTCGTCCATGAATGGTGGGGCCTCAGCAGGAGGACCCCCAACATAGTAGTTATTACAGTGTTTACTTCATCCGAAAATTGGTTCCTGGTTCGATCGTACATTTACACAACATATTAAAGACACAACATTAAAATCTGAATAAGACAGAGCTCCACACCGGGGAAACCGGGAGGGCCCCACCAGGCAGAGATGTCCCAACAGTCGAAAGGAATTAAAAAAAGACTAAACTTTAAAATACAATGCAGCATCCTTTAAAACGCATTACTGCTGCCAGTGTGGAGGGATCATCACCCAGCATGTCACGTATGCTATTTGGAAGCCCGTGGAATTCCCGCAGGTTCTGATACTGAGGGCATACGCATAGCATGTGCTCGATTGAGGCTGGAGTTCTACAACCGACGCAAGTCCTGTGGAACGGCGTTCCACCAAAATTGTGCGAGATCTTGGTGTGACTGGTTCTCAAACGCGACGCTATCTTCTGATCCCGCTGGTTCAACTGTTCTGTCCATTTCCTCGTCGTCCCTTTGATCCGTCTGATGAAGAGTGAGTGGTTTTGAGCCCACTTTGCGTCCCAAGCTTCCCGTACTTTGCTCACGATCCAGCACTTGACATCGTGTAACGGTACTTCGTTAGTATAGCGGGGGGCAGATGGTCCTGCCCCAGCCAGAAAGTCAGCTTCGGACGAGGCTTCAGAGTAACCTGGTATTCCGCAGTGCCCCGGAACCCAGCAGAATATCGTGTTTGGTGGTGCGGACTTCATCGTCGCCTGTACCCAGGGATGAGTCGGGGCCTCGGATGTCAGAGCTTGTATGACGCTGTGCGAATCCGTGAGGACCAGGATCGGTCGGTTGAAGAGCGTTGTAGCAGCGATGAAGATGGCAGCAGCTTCAGCAAAGAAGATGGAACATTGCGGCGGTAAGCTGCCGTTATCAAATGTTATGCCTGATACAACCCAAAAAAATATATGATAAAACAACGAAATTACAATGATTTTTACTGTTGAATTTCGTGTACATTAAAATTTATTGTTAAATTATTGTACGGGAGAAAAAAATAATTTCGATTTTTAACAATACAATGCTCCAACCTCGGCTCCAACAATGAAAATTAGTGTGATGAGATCAAATTTGTTCCAGAAAAATCACTTTTTTTATTGTTAAGATGCTTAACAACCCTCCTTTTTTACTGTAAATTTCTCAAATACCATGTTTTTCATTGTTGTGAACCGTGAATTTCGTTGTGATTTTATGGTAATGCACAAAAATGTCCAATATTTTGACAGTAAATATCATTGTTACAATGACAATGAAAATCATTGTATTTTTATTGGATTTTTTTTACGGGAATGCTTTAGCTTTTAAAAAATTGCTGGTTGTCTGTTTGTCTGTGGTAAATGAAGAGAGTTTGATTTTCCCGGATTTTGACAGCGATTTGTTTTGCTGACGACGTGTGAAAGTTTTTCCATTCTGTTGTTTTTGAATGCAATTTTATAATCGCTGTGAATTTTTGTGCATAAAAATAGTGAAAATCGCGGAACCACGGCTAGAATGAGCACCGCCGAGGAAGAACCGGACACCAAGAAGGACTACATCAATAAAATCGTCCTATCGGAGGAGGTGCAGCAGGCGATCGAACAGGTTTTGCAGAGCTCCGATCCCCTGGACCATCCCGACTTTGATCCCACGGATTACGTGAACCAGCTGTTTCCGAACGAGCAGTCGCTGTCCAATATTGACGATGTTATTGCAAAAATGGAATACGACATCAGCCTGATTGACGACAATATAAGAAGTGTGGTGCGAGGACAGGTGAACACCGGGGAGAATGGGAGGGCTGCGTTGAAGGAAGCGCAGCAATCGATTACCCAGCTGTTTGCTCTGATCACGGACATTAAGTCGAGGGCGGAGAAGACCGAGGATATGGTTAAGGAGATTACTAGGGACATCAAGCAACTGGATTCGGCGAAGAATAATTTGACGTACGCAATAACGACACTGAACCATCTGCATATGCTGGTGGGTGGTGTGGAGAATTTGAAACGATTGGCGGAACGACGCCAGTATGGCGAGGTATTGAATCCACTTCAGGCCATTATCGAAGTGAATCAGCACTTTCAGCAGTACTCGGAGATTCCGCAGATCCAGACACTGTCGTCGCAGGTACAGCAAATCCAAACCGAACTGGCCACGCAGATTACGGAGGATTTTAAGAACTTCTTTGCTCCCGCCCCGGGTGGTCAGCACGCTGGGAATCGAATGACCATGACGCAGCTCAAGGATGCCTGTCAGGTGGCTTCCGTGTTGGATAAGCCCGTGAAGAAGAATATATTGAAGTGGTACATTAGTGAGTAACGATTAGAAGGGTTGGGCTTGGAAGATGGGACTGGCTATTAATTTTGGTATAATTTTAGATTTACAGCTGCAGGAGTACGTTCAGTTGTTTCACGAAAACCAGGACATTGCCTGGTTGGATAAGATTGACAAGCGTTACGCGTGGCTGAAGCGTCATTTGTTGGATTTCGAAGAGAAGTATGGAAGCATTTTCCCGCTCGATTGGGAGATCTCCGAGCGAATTACGGTACAATTCTGTACGATCACTCGGGAGGAACTGACCAAAATTATGGGCCGCCGGAGGACTGAAATTGACGTTAAGTTGTTGCTGTTTGCCATTCAAAAGACTACCGCCTTCGAGCAGCTGCTAGATAAGCGATTCAATGGAACGACCCTGGGAGAGACAAAACCGGTGGAAGTTGCGGCCAACGAGAAGCCATCGTTCATGGATTTGATCGGGGTGTGCTTTAAGCCTTATTTGGACATCTACACGGACAGTATCGATCGGAGTTTGGCGGAGCTGATCGATCAGTTTTCTCAGCAAAACCAACAGCAGTTGCTGCCCAAGGATGGGAATGCTTCCGTGTTTCCGAAGTATGTTGCAATAATGAAATTAAGGGTTTGTTTGCTGGAGAGATTTGTATATGCTTTTTTAATTTCAGTTGCGCCGAGTTGTTTGTATTCTACAAGAAATGCATGGTCCAATGCACTCAGCTGAGCAACGAAAAGCCCATGTACGATTTGACGCTCATTTTCAAAAGGTACTTACGGGAATATTCCAGCAAAATTCTGGAAGCGAGAATACCAAAATTGCAGCAGAGCAGCTCGGCGACTTCGATCAGCAATAGCATGTCCCTGTTGACAAAAGATCTGCAGAATCTCTCCACGGCAGCCGGGCAGGTTATTCACAACTTCCTGAAGGAAGGCGAGGCACCCAGGTTTGTTGAGGAACGCATGTTGACTGTGAATTGTTACGGATAATGTCCACTTGCTTTCCCTTTAGGTTTAGTATGGACGATACCCGGAAGATTTGCTACGTTCTGGCGACGGCCGAATATTGTCTGGAAACCGTTCAACAGCTTGAAGACAAGCTCAAAGAGAAGATTGAAAAGAGCTACGTTAGTCGGGTGGATCTCTCCGACGAAAAAGACGTCTTCCATCGAATCATCTCCAACTGCATCCAACTGTTGGTTCAGGATTTGGACACCGGTTGCGAGCAGTCCTTGAATATGATGACAAAAATTTCCTGGCACAACATTAGCAACGTTGGCGATCAGAGCGGATTCGTCAACCAGATTGTAACCAACCTAAAGCTGTCGGTTCCAGTGATACGGGACAATCTGGCCTCCAGTCGAAAGTACTACACGCAATTCTGTCTCAAGTTCGTCAATTCGTTCATTCCGAAGTACATCAACACGTTGTACAGACTGCGTCCGACGACCGCCGGTTCAGGATCTTCCTCCTCGATGGTGAATAGTGCTTCCGGTTCGAGCTTATCTGAAGGAGCAAACAATCCCTCCAGTAATCCGGGTGGTAACATCCTCGGCTGCGAGCAGCTTCTCCTGGACACACACAGCTTGAAAACGGTCCTCATGGATCTACCTTCGATCGGATCCCAAGTGCAGCGGAAACCACCGGCCAGTTATACCAAAGTGGTAGTCAAGGGCATGGCCAAAGCGGAAATGATCATCAAGGTAGTGATGCAACCGATCTATCCGTCCACGCTCTACATCGAACAATATCTGAAACTCCTACCGGAGAGCAACGTGGTCGAGTTCCACAAGATTTTGGAGATGAAGAGTGTCAAGAAGATCGAACAGCAACAGTTGGTGGAGCTTTACAAGCGATCGTGTCCGCAGCAGTCGGCGGGACCAGGCGATGGGAACTCGGCGAAGGCGTCAAGCGGAGGAGGAGGCGATGCCCCGATAAGTCAATCGCAACAGGCAGCGGCAATGGCAGCGACGGCCATTAGTGGCGCAGGGTCCAGTATTATCGCCTTGGGAGATTCCCTGATGGACAAAGGTAGGATAAAGAAGATAGAGAATTTGATCAAGAATCGGTTGCCTAACTAAGTTACTGAAGCGTGTAACGTCACATCGTTGAATAAAGTTGGCGATATGGTACATTTTCGAATCGAATAGGGAAAATGAGAAACTCCTTGCTTAGTGTAAAATCACGGAAACGATTTCATCTATGTAATAACGGCAAGTGGGCGTGCAGCAGAATGATATGCCTGTTGTGGTTTTGACATATGTTTCTGTCAATAAGACACCTCTTTGCAGCAACTACAACAACAAGCGTTACAAACAATGGAATACAGTAAGGTGGGGCCATACCCGAGCAAAGCTGGAGATCAAATTGAAATCAAAATTTGCTGTTATGATGTAACTTATTTTGAATACTCTAGTTGATCTCATTTTGGTTTTTTTTTTTTTTTTGTCTTTATTATAGAGACTTTCAGCCTTAGTTTGGTTCGTCTCTTATCTCATTTTGGTTGAATGAAAGCAAAATTTTACACTGTTGAATCAAACGGAAAACTAATCTTGCTTTCAATTAAATCAATTTGATTACTGATTTTGCATTCATAATGTTTAACTGAATACGGGCGTGGCGTAAATGGTTAGTATCCATGCTTCTCACGCTGAAAGAATTGAGCTCAAATCTCACCCCGGGCAAGTCATGAATGACCTAAAATATGTTAAACAAAACAAATAAACGATAATCGTTAGTTCAACCTTAATTAAATTTTAAACAAGACGTTAACAGCAAAACTTCAAGTTAAGTTGCTTTCATTTAAAAAGTCTTGACTGCATAATGAAAGCACAATATGATATCAGACTTATGTCGAGACAATTGAAATCAAAATGAGTTTTCATTATGATAGGAACTGCAAACTTTAATATCGATTTGCTTTCATTTTGTTAACTGACTTTCCTCGGGTAGTTGGACCTTAGTTAAAAAACGGACGGTCGTCAACATCGAATGAAAGAAGAAAATCAATACTTCCCGAAAATGACCATTATTTGGCTCAAAATCAGACATTTTTATACAACCAAAACTATATGACACAAATACACAATCACTAATGTGTCAAAGCGGGAACTTAGTGGTGCACCTAATATTTTTGTAGATAATATCTAATGTGGCCAAATCTGATCTAATCTTACATAGTCATTGCTCAGCTCGCACCGTGTCAGGCAACTACCCACTGATCTGCATTTTTAAGCCGAGTGAGAACCTATTAAGTCTAAGCGTTAGCATGTCGCTTTCTTCTACTAGCAGGCTCAAACGGTCCCACTAATTTCGGGAGTACTACAAAAGGCCGAAAACACAAAAGGCCGGAAAAACTCGGAAAAGCGACAAAGTGGACCGGCGCACGCGCTCGCACCGGTTCACTTTGTCGGTTTTCCGAGTTTTTCCGGCCTTTTGTTAATTTGTTTTTAATAAATTAAATTTCATTTTTAAATTAATTTACAATAATTATTATTCTGCATCGTCGATTTAAAATATAATGGAAGCTACTTAATAGCCATTCGATTTCCGTAATGAATTAAAAAAAAAAACTTAAAATTTCGGTAGTTTTATGTTTATGTTTGTTTGAGTGTGTAACGACGATTTAATGGCAAGATGGATTCGTTTTTTTGTGAATGCGGACTATTCAACGAGGTGACTCAGTTGGGCGAGCAGAAAAGCTACAGAATCTGAATGAGAGAAAAAGCGATAGGGCATGATTGCTTCCGCTCGGTGCTTTTCATTTTTTTTTTTTTTTACTTTGGCTGCGAGGATTTTGAATCGAAAACCAGAGTTGCGACCTATCACAATCACGATCGCCAATCAGCTGATGGTAGTAACGCTTTGTACATTCCTATCAATGTGCTCGTCGAAGCTCTCTCCATGACCATCTATCAAGTTGACGAAAGAAGTAAAAAGCAACTAGTGAATGTCGTCTTCTGTTGTGATCCATCACCGATCTGGGGGCTTATTACGGATGTCACATCACGGTGAAAAGTTGTCACTTGTCGTCACGGTGAAGTGATTCCCATTTGATTTGTACGGTAATCACGGCTCTTATTCTGAGTATCACTTGCTTATCACCGTGTAGTGACACCCGTAATAAGGCCCCTGGTCATTCCCGACAATCACGACACTCATCTGTGCTCGTTTTGAAGCAGTTGCTGCTTTGCTTGCTTATGTGAGTGTGTTGGTGAGTGAGCCCAACAGCTTCCGTTTCATGTTGCCTGCTTTGTTTGTAACTCACACAGTCGCGCCTGTCGAGACGAACTTGGAATGCGTAGGCATTGTTTTAATTTTCTTTTGTCATTTCGCTTTTTCTCATGATCGTACTGCAGAAGTCTTCACTATTTTCGTTGTGTTTTTCATCATCAGCAGCAAGTGTGACGTTTTGCTTGTGAGCAGCGACCATTACTGGTGATTGTTGTTTGCCATGGCTCTAACTCTCACTGCGTGACAAAACGATCTGTCAGCGATAGTCGGTTGATGCGAAGACGAGTGTCACGTGAGTGTCATGATATTTTGCATCACTGTCGAAAACATCACGTTTCTTTGATTTGATCGAAATTTGGGTTGGTGTTAGAAAGAAAATGAGTGCGATTGAAGAAGAGTTCAATGGGTTTTCCGATGAAGAAGTTGTGCCAGTAGTGAAAGTGGTTATTTCCCAAAAAGGAAAGCAATGGAGTCAATGGATTTCTGTACAACGTAAACAAGGAGGTAATTCTTTTTTATTAACTGATGGTTATAGTTTGTTTATCAAAACATTATGGGACTGTGCCACCAGAAAACATGCCAAAAACAGTGACGAGGCCTGCAAAAGCCGTGCGATTACAAGATTACAAAATGGCGTCCACATTTTAGTTGTGCATAAGGAAGTGCATAATCATGAAGTTAACCCTTTGGACGGGATGGAGAAAAATTACAAAGCTGAACTTAACCGGAAAGCTCTAGAACCGAAGGAAGTTCCTTCGAAAATAATCCGTGAAGTTTCTACCCAATACGCAAATCCGAGCATCAAACAAATCGCAAAAATTGTTGATTCTGAGGCAAAGGCAAGCAAGTGGTGGTGGACTACGTGTGATTGAACAGGATGGTGAATTTATCGTTCCAGAGGAACTTAAGAAAACGCTGGATGGTCAGCTTTTCTTGCATAAATACATCCGCATCGAAAGTACACATATTATGATTTTTACAACCTTACCAAACCTTCAGCGCTTGGTTGCCTCCCGGTTTTGGCTGGTTGATGGTACATTCGCAACCGTTCCTCTGGAATTCACACAAATGTACTCTATCAACGGATCCATTCCATATCAGAATCATGACGCAGTTGTACCAACAATCAATACGAAACTAACGATTTTAAATTGGCTCACCACTTTAGTAGCCTATTGGTCCCAAGCAAACGATTAACGTACCCTATTCTAGTTGAAATTCTATTACTACACTATGTTTGTTTTGATTCGCTATGAAAGTTTGACAGATAACATCAGGGGTGTGTGGATTCATGCAGAACATGCAGGGGTGAGTGAAATAGCTTGGGACTGCTTGGGACCGTTGTTCTGGTACTGAGTGAGCCAAAAATAATAATGATTTTCTTCGGGACCCAGTGGTCTTAGAGTTACTTCTATGGTTGTACCATAGAGGTAACTCTAAGACCAGAAGGTCGCGAAGAAACGTGATCAACTTTTTGGCTCAGCTCTGGTACTCTCTTCGGTCCCAAGCTAATCGATTCACCCCTCGAAACATAGGAAAATCCAATCACCCCTCATTTTATCTGTCAAACTTTCCTAGCAAATCAAAACAAACATTGTGTAGTACTAGAATTTTGACTAGAATGGGGTACGTTAATCGATTTGCTTGGGACCAATAGGCTAGTCAAGTAGTGAGCCAATTTAAAATCGTTAGTTTCGTATTGATTGTTGGTTGTACCCCTTGTATTTATGCTTCTGAAAAACAAAACACAAGAGATTTACACATGCGCATTTGAAGCATTACTGGAAGTATGTCAGGAAGCACAGATTGAACTACGTCCGAAGTTCATCATCTCTGATTTTGAGAAAGCAGTTATTAATGTAATGAAGGATATCTTTCCGGATGCAGAATGTTATTTGTGCTACTTTCACTTTGCACAAAATTTAATCAAACAGCTGAACTTCCGGGGACTGAAAACTATGTATTCCAATGATATGGATGTATACATGGCTATTAAACGCCTACAGGTTAGTATTAAGTAATCGCTGGGTGAATGCAGATTAACGTTTTTGTTTTTTAAGCACTATCATTTCTACCGTTTTCAAGAATTGCAGGAGCATTCGAGTGCATCTAGGCCAATATACCGGTAAAACTAGCTGGTTTCCTTGAATATTTCAATGTTACATACGTTTCAGGACGAAACAGCAACAATAGGCCGATGTTTCATCCTGCCCTCTGGTCGAATCACAAAGTGGTGAAGGAGCAACTGCCTTTAGACCAATTCACTCGAAGCTTGGCATAGGCACTGGACAGAGGTTGTTGGATGCAACCATTTATCAATTACCAGAATAATCCTGGAATTGCGAACCGAGCAGCAGGCAATTGAAGGACGGATTCTGCGCATATTGCAAGGCGACTTTCAACAAGGATCACGAAACCATCTGGAAAAGATCAAAGAAATATGCTTGAAAAGTGACGATATCACCGATGTAAACTTTGTTGACAGTGTTGCTCTTTTGTTGTCGTCAAAACAAAAAAGGACTTAAGCAACATTTTTTTGAAAGAAATGAATGAAAAAAAAAATTATAATTTTTCGGGGATTAAAAACTATTCCAAGACGCTGCATCTTTTTCACAGCCATTGTGAACAGCATGTCTAGGGGTTTAAATTAAATTGATATTTCTATTAATTCTGAAACGAAACATAAAGTGCAATAACATTAACAGATTGTTTGGATGCGGTTTTCAATAAATTCAGTTTTTGATCAATTTTTGGCCATTTTGGTTTTCGGCCTTTAAGGCTTTCGGCCTTTTCGATTTTCGGCCTTTTGTGGTATCTTAGAACATTTTCGGCCTTTTGTGTTTCGGCCTTTTGTGCTTCGGCCTTTTGTGATTCGGCCTTCTGTACG